GTATTGTTTTACAGTCACTTTAATTGGGAGAGAGAGAAGGCTAACACCCACTATGCTCAGTCCTCTTTCTGAACTAGAAACCTATCAAGTTTTTGTTTTAAGGGAAAGGTAGGAAGAAATCTTCACATTTATCTTCAATTTTTTCAGGCAAAAATTATTAGTTATAAAATATAGAACAGAAATGTGGAGCCTTTATTACCATTTGCCTTTGTATTTGAGTAGATTGAAACTTAAGGAGAAAAGTTCCATAGAGTTCAAGTACAGAGTTCTATGACCATCTATAACCAGGAGCTCTGGCAGGGAGATCTGGAAAAGCTCCCTGGAAGAATGTCCACCTGAGATCAAAAGATGAAAAGAGGGTGGGAAGAACACTCCGGGAATAGGAGAGAATTGTGTCGTTAGACGATTCTACATGAGAACTCCCTCTGCCATTCAAACTGTTTTTCTTAAATTACCTTCGGCCGGTCCTCTATGACTCCCTTTAATCAACATGTGGCAGAAGTGATGCTATGCCAGTCTGGGGGCCCGAACTTTGAGGATGCCTAGCAGCTCCTGCTTTTGTGCTCTCAGAAGCCATGAGTTGCTCTCTAACAGGTCAAGCTACCCAGCTGGAAAGATCAGCTGGTAGAAGCTCCAAGATTGGTCCAAAAAGGATGAGAAACTGGTAGAACAGATTGGAACCAAATTACAGCCTGGAGCCAAGCCCACTTGAGTCAGTCCTCAACCGACCCATGAGCAAGAATATGTGAGTGCTTTTTTTCAGCCCCTGAGTTTTCGGGTGCTTTATAGAATTACTGTGGCAAAAGCTGGCTAATACTGGGCATAATAATAAGTATGCCTGTCTCAAAGACTTCTGAAATTTAAGTGAGTTCACATAAGGTGCTTAGGAACAGTTAAGTGGCACACAGTAAGCACTCATTCAATGTCACATTTTTATTACTGACACGTTCAACTGCGTGGGTACTAGACATCTGCAAATGTCCAGCTGGCAACTGGGTTTGGAGCTGAGAAGTCTGGGGGAGAGTGTGATGCCACGGGTTAATGGGAGAATGTAAGACCGCTGAAGACAAGATCCTAAGGAATAGTTACCCCATGTCTCCTTCTTTGAGAGGATGATACTGGCCAACTCCAGGTCCTCACCTCCTAGTCCTTCCCCAATCCACTGTAATCCATTTGCTGAAGTAAGTCCTGCCAGGGTTATCAATAACCTCCATTCTGTCAAAACCAATAATCAAGTCGACGTCCTCATTTTACCCAACTCTCAGCATTCAACAGAGTTGACAACTCCCTCTTGATCAGAACACCTTCTTCGGCGTGACTCAGGAGAGCACGCCCCCTGCTTTCTCTTCGAGTTAGACTGACAGCTATCTCTCAGCCGCATTTTATGCTCTGTCTCCTCTGCTACATCTCTAGAGAATGAAGGATCCCTGGGCCCATCTTTTCTCTTTACAATCTACAATCTACATTAGGTAATGTCATTTGTCCCCGTGTTTTAAATACCATTCACTTTTAATTTTCAAATTTATTTCTGCCTACTTATATCCCTCCTTGGATGTCTTAGAAATCTTCTTAGTTCTACCTTCAAAATATATGCAGAATTTGACCGCTTCTTATCACGCCCATCACCATCACCCGCTATAACCCATCATCCTCTCTTGCTGGGGCTGCTGCAAAAGCCTCCTGATTCAACTCCCTGCTGCCCATTTTACTCCCTCTACAGTCTAATTTAATCTCCAGACAACTGCCAAAATGAGTTTCTAAAAATGTAAATCAGATCATATCACTCCCTGTTCGAAACCTTCCACAGACTTCCCACCGCACCAGACGACACCGGAAGTCCTTCCACAGGCTCTGCAGCCCTGCGTGGGCCTGTCCAGCCGATCTTCCGACCTCATCTTCGGCCACTTTCCCCTTTATTCACTCTGCTCAAATTGCACTCTTGCAGTTCCTCCAACAGGAGAAATTTGGAGCCTTACACATGCTTCTCCTTACTTAGAAAACTCCTTCCCTCATGGCTCGGTCATTCTACTTTAAAACACTTATTAGCACACGACTTAATATTAAATCTTTGCTTCTCCATATTACATTATGAGCTCCATGAGGTCAAGGACTTTTTCTCATTTACTGCTGTATCCAACACCAGCAAACAATGCCTGGCATAGGGGAGGCACACAGCATTTCTCAAATGAAGGACTGAACATCACATAAAGGTCAAGCAGATCAAAATGAGCGGTTCCTTAAAGTGCTTCAAACTCAAGTTCAAAAGCCTTTCATGTCAACTAATTCAAGCTGTAAACATAATAAATATATGCCCAAGCTAACCCACTTTTTTACCTCAGGAAGTACCAACTATGGGACATATTTTTGTCACACCATACTAAGTACAGCATCTATGTTTCACAGCCAGGCAACGCCTAAGCTTAAAAATCAGTCCACATATCACTTTCAGAAAAGAACAATGAGTGGAACCTGGAGAAGGACAAATATCATGACTACACAGAAAACAGGAACATTTCAAGGACTCTAAAACTAATTCCCTTATTTTTTACTGATGGGAAGAACTGATTAACAGCTTCAGTGGAAATATGAAATAAACATTTTTTCCCTCTACATTCTTATCCTAGCAATCCCAATATTTTTTAAAGGAAAGAACTACTCAACAATATTTTTAGAGCGGTATTTAGGGAGAGAATTAAAAATGCTCTCAAGGTCCCACTTCTAAACATATTCTAAGATAGGAGGAAGGTATTTACGAAATCAATAAGCACTCTTGATTACCATGTAGGCGGCCAATAGGTCTTTTTAAAATACCTCTGCTTTTGAAAATCTAAACTGCGCTATAACCAATCCTCCTTGTCAACTTCAAACTAAAAAACAAAATAACCTGGAGCCTAGCTTTTGAGTTGTTTTTCCCCCTTCATAAATGTAATTAAACTAAATTCAGAGAGTATAGAAAACAGAGAAAAGAAAGAAAAGGTAGTATCATCTGACCGCTCCAGCGTAACACTAATCAGCATTTTGGTATGCTTCCTTCCATCCTTGCCTCTAGGTGTGTTTGTTCCATTTCTTCTCACAGTTTAAATCATAGTGTGCACAGTTTCAAATGCTATTATACATACTT